CGCGCCTCGGTGATGACGGAGGACGACGAGGAGACCGTGGGAATTGCGCGAAGTCGGGAATTAGCCGAGATTTTCAGCAACTCCGGGAAAGGGAGGCGGCACCGTCATCGGGGAAACTTCCACCGAGGAATCCTGCAAACATTTGCCGATTACTTGCCCCGGCTAACGAAGGGTGCCGCCACTCGTTTCTGGCCGGAAAGTACGAGATAAGAAATGGAAAGTAAACGAATGGAAAATAGGAAACCAAACCCACGGACGGGTTGGAGAGAGATTCCTTCGACGGCGTCGCGCGTCGGCATGACTAAGGACGAGGGGACATGACTAATCGTAAGAATTGGCCAAGATTTGCAGGACCCTCTACCAGGGGAAGCGGTATCGTCGTCCGTGACACTTTTCCCACGAAAATCCCGGGAAAAATCCTGAAATGATCTCGCGAATTAGGAGTCGCGCCATCCGTTTCTAGGCCGAGGCGGGATCTAATGAAATAAATTTTAAATCACTGCCGCGGGAGGACGATTAATCCATGTTGGGAGCAGGTGCTCATAAAAGCTCCCTGTAAAAATGAATAATGACTTAACGGGAGAGTCGGAGGAAAACAGAATATCCGAGGTAGATTAGTCGACGCGTTATAAGCGTCGTTAAGCTGAACCGAACGCGAAAAGGCGTATCCTAATCATCGGTGGGCAATAAAATCTCCTTAGGATTAAAAAAGGGAATGCAATTTCGATTCACCAAGGATCTCGGTTTTCCTGGCTTTCGCGATGTAAGAAGCGTCGTAAAATTCTATTACACAATACCATCCGCGATAATGAGATATTCTCGGAGACGTCGTTAACATTTTCCTTCACTTAGCTTGTATAAATAATTTTAATTCGCGCGTCTTCGGTCGTTAAGAGAATTTTCAATTTTCACCACTAAATGAAAGAACTCCTGACAAATATATTACATGAGCAATCGTTTATGAAAACGTGTCATCGGAGAATCCCAGAGCCCATACGCAACACCATTTCTTCCTATACGGCGGGCCGATCGTTATCAGCCTATCACGACCTCGCGAATCGAATTCGCGGCGATTCGAATAGAATTCCGGAAACTCGGAGGGTCTCGTGAGATTTCCCAGGAAGCCCCCTTATCGACCAAGACCGAGATAGGGAAGGCGAAGGAATACGTGAGGCCATCGGTAACGAGGTCACGTGAATCGTGACGTTCGATTGCATCGAGACACGATTCTCTCTTTCTCCCCCGTGATCGATTACTGGCACGACAATGACTCGCAAGGAAAGGTTATCGTTTTACGTCGAGTCGATTTTTCTCCTTTCCCCTCCTTGGAACTCGCGCCGAGATTAAACCCCGCTCGACGACCAATTCGATCTGCTCGATATTTCCCATCTAATTACGATCCGTCCTTAATGCGACACCGTGCCTCGTCCTGCGAGCCGTGACTTCAAAGTTCGAAGGAAAGCTCTAAACGATGTATTTCAATTAGAGGAAAATTAAGGATAACCAAAGCTTATCGATTGCAGGCCTGGAATATTACTCTACGTTTACAGAGGGTGAGATTACAGCATTCGCGACATTGATATGTAACGCGTTTCAAGTGAATTTACGAAGGATTTTCCTCTTCCATGTCAGATCTCTACTACGGTAATAAAAGATAATCCTCTCGCGCATATCGTACGATACGATTCAACAAATGATTTTTATCTGTGTACATCCTTAACGCAAATGATCCTATCCCATTGTTTCATTGACTCGGAAATGCATTATTGATCAATTAATGTTTGATCATAGCGATGAAGACATAAATTATTTGAGTATTAGTCAACCAGGATTAAACGTTAATCTCCGTTTCCAATGTGCTGTGGTTACATGATTAGGTATATATTTATTGAAATTCATGAAAAAAAAAAATATATATAGAGTGGAACAAATTTAACTCCCTGGTACGCGCGTTTTGCCCGTTTCTCTGAACTTTTCATCTCCACTGATAGCATTTATCTCCCGAGCTGGTGCATCCTGCGGATGCGTCAGCATCTCAAGACGTATGTAAATGCAGCGATACGATCGCATCGTCGGCTAGGAAATTCAGTACTACTTCGTCATCGTTGACAGTACGTAAGTCGCTTCTTCCGTCCGTTTATTCCCTCTCCGATATGCCGGAACCAAGGGTCATCGAAGCCCCGACAATCATGATGGAAATCACGAAGAAATCGGAATTACCGAAGATGCAACGCGGGAGAAGTAATCTTAGACAATGGACCGATCAATTGGAATTACCAAAGATGAGAAACATGACGCGTTATCTGTCAAAGGAGGCCAATTTCGATAAAGTCGATGCCGGAGCTCCCGGAAGAGGGGAAGAGAAGGCGACTGGAAAAAGGGATAAATTTGGGAAAAGGAAGAAAAAGTCGACGTTCCTTTGCCAGGAGAGACTCGGAGAGATAGTTCGGTTAGTCCATCGAGATAAGGTCCTTCGATGACAGGGCCTCTTCGGCAGAGAGGAAGAAGAGAGATCCTACCCTGGTTAGCCCCGAGGAGAAGAGCTCGAGGATAAAAGGCCAAGTGGTACGAGGCACTTTAAGGGAAACCGGTAAAGACAATACCTCTTTACGGCCCCGAAGAGCCGCTGAAGCCTCCCTACCTCTTCATCGTCTTCCTCGGCTTCTTCTTCTGTCTTTTAGATACAGGGTCCACCCACCTTCCCCGAGGTATACGCGTTAAAGGCGTATCGAGCGGAAGCCAGGGGATTCTAGTTCGCTGAAATCCTACAAGGTGCATCCCTCTTCCAGGGATCAAAAGAAAAGACGAAAGCAACCGTAAAGAAATGAGGAATTCCTCGAGATTCCTCTCGGCATGCTCCATTTTTTCTCGACCGAGCCCGATCGGCGTTCGCGTCTTCTTGCATTATTCAAAGTAACACCGTGCGACCTCTTCCGAGGTACGTTTAGTAAAAAATGAATTTTCCACGAGTCTTCGCATCCTTCCCTACCCACGTAAGGAGGCGGAGGTGGTTTCCGCTCCCGCGGTGATCATTTCATTTCCCGAGCCCGTTCTCTCGAAAACTTTCGATATCGCTCGACTCGACGTGTCCCGATCGAGCGCGAAAGGGTGAATTGAAACGTGACATCGCGCCAGAGTGGATAATTATAATAAAAAGAGAGGGACAATGGAGGCGAGAGAGTTTGGCCGAGAAGAGTCGTTTCCGGGGCTAAGAGGAAAAAGGTGGCACGCACAAAGCGCGGTTCGGATCCTCGTAATATCCCCGCTTCCGGGGCAAATGAAAGTCGGGCTTTTTCTCGTCGAAACATAAAAAAGGAATTTATTAGAGGCCCTCGTTGCGAGGCCGTAGCTCCCGAGAGCGGAGTTGCCCCGGCCGCCGATGTCAACCGGAAAAAAGCCGGAAGTTCCATTGTCGCTCGGCATACCATTTCCCGCGAAATATGATTTTGCTCGGTCGACTGACCCCATAATAGGAACGCTATAATGGCGGGGCCCATTACGATCGCGGACATCCATTTTACACGTGTATGAGGTAACGAGTGCCGAGCCGCTCGGTTTCGGCTCCTGCTTTTCCGAGCGCACTCCAGCGATTCTACCAATTCATAGATTAATCCATAATAATCCATTCATTAATGCTCCCACGCATTAATATAATAACACAGTAATCATGCAGGAGCATACAATCGAAGATAATATCGAGGCTTCATTTCCCTGGGTATTTCTTTACTTTCAATTATTCATTCGGTACGGTAGTTTAAGTTGTTCATTGTGGGCAATTCAATCTACTTATCGCGAACAATGACTTACTTTGGTAGAACCTTCGCCGATCATTGAACACTTCGATCGATTCGGCATCCGTTTTTCTTATCGCGCCGTGGATAGGGAACATTTCTTAGCGACAAACTGCCTTTTGTCGTGTGGTGACTCGGCGCACCGTCGATATTTCTTTTGCACGGTAATTGAACAAAATACACCGAGTCGCTTTTCCGTCGATAGGTTGACGGGGAAAAAATCCGGGGGTCGGGTTAGACCAAGTAAATCACACAATGCGATTCGGGTAAAAATCCAGGGAAATGCGCGAGCGATCCAAGCGGGGTGGAAATTGTTCTATTATTCGCATAAATAAACGAGAGAGCGACCGCGGAGCATCAATTATGCACGCGTACCAAATCGAGCGACGAGGGGTTGTTATATTCCCAGCAGCGAGTCGCGCATCTCGAGCACAACGTCGTGAAAAATTCAAGACATTGAATTAATTAAACCAAACTTTGTCACGTAAATCTCGTGGGGGAGTGTTTATACTGCAGCCGAATCGAGGACAATCGTTGGGGCGATATATCGCTCTCGATCGATCTCCGATCGATCGGCGAATCCGGCATGGCGCGAGTCGCGCTGGCAACCATCGGCGATGCAACAATAATTCCGCATATAATGCAATTGGTAACGATAATTTCGGTAATGGTCGGTTTCGGTGTGTCGGGGCATTATTCCGTCGCGGTGCCGGCACTCGGGCATATCCGTAATCATCAATAGGCACAGGCAGAATTCTAGCGCGTGCCGATCGTTAATTGGCTGCGGTCAATCGATCGAAGACATTTCCCCCAATCAGAAATTCCCTCTCCCCGACAAAGGGAGCTCTCCTTTGAAACCGCCCCAACAGCGAGGGAAAGTAACCGGGGCGAAATGAAATGCAACCTCCCGTCCTATCGGGTATCGATATTTGTAAATTCAAGCGTTCCCATTAATTTCCCATATCTTTCCCGTGATAAGGATTTTTCCGGAATTACCATCGGATTTCTCCGACGGAGGAGCGCGTGACGCTCGCGGGAATTACCGGCATAAGAAAACCCGGCCGGAGATGAGTATTAGAAAAATTTTCTCGGAGAGAAAAAATCTGATCCACGCGAATTCCGCTTAACGTATCGACGCGGGGGTGGAATTCGAGATAAGTGGGGGACGAATTATAAAGTCGGATACGCCGGTGAGAGGTGCGACAGTGAAGCGAGTCGGTCCGAGAGCGACTTTCCGCGATCTAGCTCCTTTCGTTCGGCGCGGCTAGGTCTCGGCATTCGTTCTACCTCGAGTACCAAGTGAACCGATTAAAGAGACCGGGAAATTCGACCGGATCGCCGCGAGTGCCGCAACGAGGTGGTCCCGATAACGCGTAGGCGCAAAACCACCGAAAAAGAAGCGCGACGAGCTATCGGTAAATACCAATCCATTGGAAAAAGTTTAAAAGAGAGACACCCAACACCGACACAGAACCCACCCTTGATAACTTCTCTGAACGAGAGGGAGTGATTAAATCGATCAACTTTCCGTGGAATTTCAGAATTCCACGTAGAAGGGGTTTAATAGGAGAAAATTCATCCCGATTACCACCGATGACGTTTAATCGTCACTGGGGCGGTGGGAAATAACCGAATGACGACCCGCGACATACCGGAGCATGGTTGAATCAAGGGGGGTGATTTTCCCCTGGGGCCGGTACATCGATCGATCGAAAATCGGTCCCGGGTGCGCGGATTAATTTTTAAACAATCGAGTGGAGCTTAATTCTTCGATCTAATAAGTCTTTCGTCGAGTGGAATTTTTTGCGGAATTCCCGAGGGCGAATTCGTAATTGGCGATCGTTTCAGTCGCGCGGAACGTAATGACATTTCCTCGGATAAATGGAATTCCCTCCCCGCGTCCACGTGGGAACATTTCGGCGTGTCGATTCGCCGCGACGTCGTGCGTCGCGACGCCTCAAACGGAGCGATTCGCGGCACGCGAAGCACGTGGGACGCACGCTTTTACCGCCCATGGCGGTGTGTTCATTAACGCGGAGTATTTACACCGGAAGAGACCCTCCGCGACTTCGTTTCACCCGTGAATGCTACAAATGCAACGACCTCTCGGAAGGGTTATCTTTCGCCACCTTGAGACAATTCCCTAACGCGAGAAAATTGACGGACTGACCTCGGTACGGATGATAGATCAAGTTTAATGAACATTTCGAATCGGTTTGGAATGTCACACTTTTCTATAGGAGGAACTCAGCTCTAGAATCGCTTTGTCGAGAATCGTGCGACTCGCGGAGGAAGAGTCACGTGGGGAAGTAATTCGGTTTTCGCTTCGTTCTCCGTATGCGCGTTAAATAGAGTAATTCTCTGCACGCAGTGCGCGGGATCGCTCAAATTCACCGGCCATGGCGGTGCGTTCATTAACGCGGAGAGTTTACATCGGATGCGGAAGCGGCGATTTCGCTCCTGGTAGCACTGAGTATTTTACCCCTCTGATTTTCCGAACCATCCCCCGGCATCCCCCGATAGCGTTGTGATAAGCGAGAGCCTTTAAATTCACGTCTTTCGGTGAGGCGGGATTTTCCCCAATTTTCTTTCCCTTCTCGGCATATCGAGCGACCCTGTGCAACACTCGGACACATTTACCTTTTCCGCCCAGGGCGTTCCGCTCGTTAATGCGAGGGTCATCACTCGCGGAAGTGAATCTCGCGACTTCGTCCGGTAATTTGCCCGGTACACTTTCCGCAGGCTCCGTTCCGTTTACCGTCGAAAAACGCCTCTCTCCGCGTGCGGAGAATCGGGCTATTGGAAAAATTTCCGGGAATAATTGGATAGGACGAGGATGCAATTAGTCGCCGCGCCGCATTTACCCGAAAATCCCGTGCGACACGCGTGACCGTCAAATACGCCGGGTTTAATTATTTCCGACTCAATTAATTTTAACCTACACCTTTTGTAGACGAGCGAACTGCCGAAAGAGCTTCGTTTTTAAAAACCGAGCCGTAGAGAACGACCCCGCTCGCGTTACTTGCGCGGAGGGAATTGTTTGAAAAGTTATTTTCAAAGTGTGGAGAGAAAGAAAAGTCCCGACAATGTCGAACCCTTAAACGCGTTTCCTGAGCCGTAAAGTGTGAACGATAATTACGAAATCACTGTACCGCAATGTCATATCTGTAGAACTTATCGCTCCTTTAGGTGGCACTTTAGATAACAACTGTTCGGTACGCTATAAAGTGATCGCCAGTACGCTTAGACCGTTGGAAAAATTTTTCTGCCAAGACAAGTAGTATATCCGATATATCCTACCTAGGCGCCATGAAGAAATCCCTAGATAGGAAATTAAAATCTCCGCAGTTACGGTTCGGTGGGATCGATCCGAAGTCTCGTCAAGGCCCTAGGAAATCTCCCCATAAAAAAGCCGACCGACCTCAAGACGGGCCAATTCCCGCACTGCAGTAAAATCCCGATACGCCCCATCAATTGGCCGCCATTCAATCGGTCTGGAACGCGAGCTCGCATAGCAAACTAACCTGGGCTCCGACAATCGGCGGGAAATCTCGGCCGAAGAAATCGAAAGAAATCGAAGTCGTTCGACCTCGACCGGGGATTTTGACACGGCCCTGACTCCTGCCGATCGGCGGATTTCCATTGCCGAAACGCGGGAGTTCCGCAACTGCGGGGAAATGTGCGCATTGCGAGGAGCTCCCACGTCCACGTGATCGATGAAAGTCCAGCTCGGTACCCGGGTGTGCGCCTGTTTACCTGCTCCATGCACCTGTACAGGTGCTCCGGTTGATGCATGCGTGTACTCACGTGCGCCTAGTTATCCGCTTCCCGTGCCCGTGTGCACCTAGTTATCTCCTCCAGCACCCGTCTAGATGTACCAATGCGTGTCCACGTGCGTTCGCCTACGTGCACCTGTACGTTTCCACCGACACATGCCTACACACGCGTGTGCGGCTAAGACCTCCTCGTGGACGGAGAACGCTCGCGATGGATGATAGGCTCCCGGTGCAGCTAATCTGCAGCCTATCAACCCGTTCCGCTCAGGAATCGGATTTCCTGGTTTCACCGGACGCACTTATCGTTGCCGATCGTCATTGATTTCAGTATATCCAGCCATGTCGTACACGCCGACCTTCGTCTCGGAGTGCGCCGAGCCCTTCCTGGGACCGAGCCTGGCCCGGACCTGTCCAGGTTCCCAGTTCCTCCTCTTCATGACCCTCCTGGACACCTTCATTCGCGGCAAGCAGCCAATCGCCCAGCTTTGCGAAAGGGTTGCCCCCGTCAATCCCGCGGAATTCTATTACGACTTTATCGTCATAGGTGGTAAGTAAGGGACGACTATAGATCGATTTTTTTCTTATCAATTTGAGCCTCTGGGTGAAGAAACGCACTGATCTCAATGCACTGATTTTTATCGCTTTGCTATTTTATTACGTTTACAGGAGCTTTCTATTACGAGGTAAACGCGATAACGTCCATGTCTTTGTTTACGAGTAGATTTCTTAGTTATGGACCGTGGGTTTATATCTACTCTCGGGATAATGGCGATGCTTATCGAACTACGTGTAGCAATGAGTTGCACTAGTTACTAGAAACACGTAACTTATAATACATTCTGTGCTGTCCTTTTACTAGTTATTAGGCCCGTTAGTCGACATAATTATGACTCGATGAAATGAATTAATTAATCAAAGGGTTGAAACTTTAGGCAAAATGGACATTCCCCGAGGGAACAAAATCCATCTTTCTTCTTTCTGCAAGACGATCTCGTTTTTCGTGATTTCTGCTATTACTTGATATACGATAAAAGGCAAAATAAATAAATAGAGACTTGTCACAGATGGCGCCTTTCACTTGACGGAGAAAAAGGAACAGGGACGGACCACTGAACCGTCAGTTTATAATCAGCGTTTCCCGAATAAAAAAAAAAAAGTGAAATCCCTATCTAAAGCGGGAGAAATGTTTCGCACGACGAAAAAGAAACGCAGTCTCTTCCTAGAGCAAACGGTGGCGCCGATTCGTGTTATAATTCCGCATATAATGGCACACTGCAAAAGGGGCTCGACGAGGTCTTAGAAAGTGCAAGGTTTTTGCACTGGCACGTAGGAAATGCAACTCCTAGATGGGGACTGCTCTAGGACGTGATCAAGTAAACTCGATTCCCTTTGGAAGTGATCTCTCTAATGAACGCGTTTCTCGTGGTCGAACCTTTTCCTCATTAACTCCCGAGTAATTCCCCAGAGACGGCTCGACGAGTTAGGCAGATGTTTATTTATGAGAGAAAACATTCGCGTCATAATGGTGCTTCAGGCTCGATGAATTTCTTAAGTGGCGCGGAATATCGCGTGAGGGTCGGATTATGAACCCTGCATAATTCATGACTCGCGGAATGATCGTCATTTGACGTGACCCTTTCATTCGGACGAGCGTTGCTTCGAGGACTCCTCGAAGACCAACGTCGTGAAACCTTGGAAATGAAAAGCCGGGATTTTTGTAAACATTTTCCCGAGCCTAAAAAAGCACGCTTTGTTCAAACACGGAACAGCTGTCTGGTGGATTTCTTTTCCCGTCTCTTCGGTCCCATTTCTTTCGTCTTTAAACCGACTGACCGCATTTTCTCGGAGCCGCTAAAACGACCATGACCGATGCAGAAAATGACGTTCTCAGCTCTTAATCGATTTCGCTGATTCGCAATCAACTCCCGAGGCTTCATCGCCGGGGCTGGGTTTTTCTTCAACGTCGCCATGGACATTTTCCTTAAGTTATAAATTAAACCATGAATTCCGTCGCGGAAAAAATCCTAGGACGTAAAGATATCGTGGCGAACGTCGGATAACGATTGACGAGGGGTTCCTTCACATTTTCGGCGGAAGCGCGATGTCCGAAACGGCGCGTTTCTAATTGGCCGTGATCACCGCCCTTAGCTCGTTGGGTGGTGAAATGGATCCGTGGGGGCTCCCCGACCTGGGTCAACTCCCCGGAGGATCTACGGCTGGCGAAGCCGATCGAATCAGCCGTAAGAAAATCGTAAAGAAGCGAATCGGATCAGTTAGAGGCAATTACGGTCAGGGTGAAGCCGGGGGTACCCGGTTCCCCGGATGTCCTCGGGATGTCCCCGAGATATCCTCGGGATATCCTCGGGAGCGGAACCTAAGGATCCGTTCGAGAGAGGAAAAAAAAAAGAAAAAACATTCAGGAGTCCCGGGTCTTTACGAGGAGTTTTAACGACCTCTTCGGAGGAGCATCGATCGATATCCGGCGATCGCGATCGGTCATTCGATCCGCTTAAATCCATTCCGCAAATATATAGAGGCTCGCTCGAATCTGGTCGACGTTTATGCCAGGGTTAAACCGAATTATCGCGAGGACAATTGTTATTCGTTGATTATCGGTCCGAGCCGACGGAGCTCGCGCGTTGCCTCGCGCACCCGCGATATTAATACAAACTATTATTTATTCGGCCGACTTCACGGGACCATCGTGCCATTAAATTAATTCCGTTTGCCTGGTGCGCGTGCCTGTTCACCCACCGGGACGTCACCTGGACCGGATATCTCCGACTGTCCCGTGCGTTATCAGGGACGTGAGCATCGGGGTGGACGGCTCGTCATTCTCCCAAATCACCCTCTTTTATTCGACTGGAATATTTGAAAACGGATCGAAGGCTCATCAACCCCTTTTCGCAAGAATCGGTTTGGCATCGCCTAAACTCAAATCCATGGAAGGAAAAATCCAGTTAAATGAACAATCTTGCGATCAGCCCTTTCATTGATAAAGAACTGAAATGCATCTTACGGTGAAATTGGCCGGTCTTCCGCACTACGAAGCGTTATAGAAAACGTCTCTCCCTCTCTCTAAATTCATTCGCGAAAACTTCCCAGGAGAAGCTCCGCGAGGGGTCTCTCGGCTTTCCGGAGTTTCGAATTCCGTATTTGCTAAAGATTCGAGCTCCCGGCGATTAGAGCGCGCACTTCGTCGGGAACTCTCCGAAGGATTCCGTCTCGCGCGAGATGAAATTCGAGATTCGGGGAAAGGGGGAGCCGCGAAAGAGAACGCGAACGGAATTATAGGAAATGGAGAAAGACAGAGATTACGCATCTCGCGATCCGAAGCCGAAGTTGGGGAGGGAAGTTGCCGAGGTACAACTTCATTTGTGCGTCCTCGAGTAGCTCCGGGCCGTTTAAAGTTTCGGGGATTTCTCCGGGAATGTCTGGAACACCCCCGACCAGGGGGAGTCCTGGGGGTGGTTCCGCGTATCTGGCAAAGAACTATGCGCCTTTTCGAGCATCCGCCCAACTTCTGCCTCCCCTCGCGATTCCCTCGGGATTTTCATCGGTGAGGTCGCGGGCTCGAGGAGCCAACTTTCCGGGAATTCGATCCATCCGGCACGTACCCATGGTTCAATTAACCTTAGAAATCCCGATTTCACGAAATCCCGTAGATCGGAAAGTAGCAGAAACTTCAGGGTGTCCGGGACCCCTCGTCGGCTCTCTCTTTTAACCCTTTACTTACGAAACGCCACCATAGCCGCCCCCTTCATTCCCACGTGTTCGAAGCGACAAATTAATATCGTATTAATATAAAATAATAACACTCCACGTCCGATTCCGCCGTAGTTAAAGGGTTAAGGTGATATGAAAGGGTCATTCCATACATATCAATGCGTGAAAATGTTTATGAAATTTTCCTCCAAACTGGGTGCACCGAATCATCTGAAACTTCAACCCTGCTCGGGATTCTTAAAATCGAATGCTCTGGTTAATTAATCTCGGGGATCATTGAAAGATATTTAATCGCTTAGATAAGCTAAACCAGGGCAAGTTGGATTAATTCGTAGCCGGCCTAATATGCATAACGTGTATGGGCCTCGCCGGGTAAAGTGGTGCACCGGTGTCGAAGTACCGTCCAGGATGGGAGTCTTGAAATTGGCCGTAACAACGGCAGTAGCGTAAGTAAATAAGGGAACGGGCCAAGTAGCTGCCAAGAAAATAACTGCCGTCCACTTTATAGGTAATTGAAGCCGGGTACGTATCGTAAGACGTTAGAAACCTTTATGGAGGAACGTTCACTTTGAACGGCGACGTTTTAGAGCTTGAACCGACGAATCTGCACGCATCGCGTCGAATGCAGATCGAAAAGAAAGGTCTGGATAAGCCGATAAGGAAGGAAGAAAAATCAAGAGACAAGGAATATCGAGAGTACTCCGAGTGGAGGCAAGACGTTCCCTGGGGAGTCCTCGAAGGATTCCTAAGGGTAATTGGCAACCGGGTTTTCTAGGTGCACGATAATTGCCGGGTACTATTACGCAAGACCTCTTAGGAGCATTGTCGTTCGTGCACGACTGTTTTTACCTCGTTACATCGTTATGGAACCACAACGGAACTTGGAGAAAAAAGAAAAGGGTATACTTGAATGGCGGAATGAAAAATCCGAAGCTCGACTCTAGCGCAAATGGATTTAGCAAAGTTGGCTCGAAGGATTTCGGAAATTTGGTATGGCATGACGCGAAGCAATAGGTCGAGGGTGCAATTACGGTTTGTAGCACTTTGCTAGTGCCCGGGCGTCTTTAAAATAATTTTCTTCCCCCGGGCCGATTTTATCGTGCGTTTCTCCATGCAAGTGGGAAATTTTTCCGCATTTGCATGGCGAAACGTGCCAGACGCGGCGCAAGATTTTTTGCATAATCTCTATGCAGTTCTGAAGTGCTTAGAATTCCAGTAATTTTTACGACCCATTGCTTACCGCGCGTTCGGTTCCGCATTAATATCGAGGGGCGGAGGAAACTGGTGGAAAGGGAAAAAACGTTGGCGATTCAGCCCGAGAATGGATGTTACTCGGTAAAGTGGACGGGAATGAATTTTAAAGGGCCTAGCGTGGATTTATACGGTTTTTATTATGAGATGGATAGGACGAAAATGGCCGTAAAAGTTGTTCGGAACATGATACAGGGATATGGACCTCAGGGAAATAAGAGTTCTAGATTTATGCCGCGTTCATCATCAAACATTGATTCGGAGAGATTAAAATTGCTGCTTTTATGATTTCGCTGCCGAGAGGAAGGGTTCCCATTTTTTGTATCTTTTCTTTAATGCGCGGAAACCGCGTCGTTACCAATTTCGCTGCGACTGCTATCGCGGGGATGTCGGAAGTGGCCGACTGCATCTCCACTGTCGACGATATCGGATACATTTTTTATTGGGTCCCCTTCCGGCGGATTACCGGGAGGGATCGCTTCGATATTTTCGAGTCCTGTGATCGGGATGATTGGATACTCGAAACTCGAAGGACGTCGTCGTAGACGCGCATCGAAAAGGGAATAATAATGGCCCACCCTGGCCTCGACCCTCTAATTTCCCCGACACGCTTCGTCGATCTGAAACGCCGACTAATTTGCCGGACGACCTTTTCGCTTAACCGAAGTGCAGGCCCCGTGCACCGAGGGCGCACTTGTTTTTTTTTTTGCACCCAGCAATTAAACGCGCGCGCGATATTAAAGGGGCGGCCTCTCTCGTTCGACTGAAGGTTGCCGGTGATAATGAGAAAGAGATTTCCCGGTAATAAAATCGATCGCCATCAGGCTCTCGGGATTTTCCGTGATCCACTTCCACGGAAGTCCACATCCCAATCGAGTTGGGATGAATCTTCCTAGGATGGATCTTCCGGTGGTGAAAAATGTCTGGGTACTATTTGTTCATTCCCTCCTCCTTCGGCAATGGTGCGAAGCTGTTTCTTCTTTTCTCATCCGGAGTCTCTATGGAGTGTGTTATCAATTGCATGAGATTTTTTTTCGCACCTAGGTGGATCGGCCGGTGCAGTGGTTGCATCCAGATTGAGTGACATACCGGAGTGGAAAGTCTTACTCCTAGAGGCGGGTCCGGACGAACCGCCGGGTGCGGATGTGCCCAGTATGGTAGCCATGTTTCTAGGTAAGTTTCCAATTACCGCCCTGGCACGGTGAAAATCCATCGGAGGGGTTTCCGGTTTCGTCCTTTGACGCTCGCGATGATTGGACAGGGACTGAAATCGACTGGCAGTACAGGACGAGCAACGAGAACAACGCTTGCCTCTCCACTTCCGGTTCCTGCAGCTGGCCCAGAGGGAAGAATCTGGGGGGTTCCTCGGTGCACAACGGGATGATGTATATTCGGGGCCATCCCAAGGACTACGACAACTGGGCCGCCCTTGGGAACACCGGATGGTCCTGGCGAGATGTGAGACTCCACGTTTTCCATCCATGGGCATTAGATTGCCATGTTGGGTGTATTTGAAAGGCAGGATTTGATCACACACCCTCTTAGGTGCTGCCCTACTTCATGTGTTCCGAAGACAACAGCGAGATCGGAAGAGTAGGGAACAGGTACCACTCGACAGGTGGACCGCTTACGGTGGAGAGATTCCCTTGGCAGCCCGCTCTTGCAGCTGATGTTCTCGCTGCAGCTGCAGAGAGGGGATACGGCATCTCGGAGGATCTCAACGGAGAGATGTTCACTGGGTTCACCGTTGCTCAAACCAATAGCAGAGCCGGTGTCAGAGTCAGCAGTGCCACGGCGTTCCTCAGACCGGTGAGGAACCGACCGAATCTCCACGTCGCCCTAAACGCCACCGCGACGAAGATCATGGTGCAGAACATGAAAGCAGTCGGCGTTCAATACGTTCAGGTAGAACTTGCAGGTGCAACGATACTCTCGGGAAAGGTTAGTCCCTTCCTAAACGAGCCACTGATTTCAGGGTGGAGAAATGAGGATGGCCAGGGCGACGAAAGAAGTCGTTGTTTCCGGTGGAGCCGTCAACTCTGCCCAGCTCCTTTTGCTCTCGGGAATCGGGCCCAAGGACCACCTCAGGGCAGTGAACGTCCCGTTGGTGAAGGATCTCCCGGGAGTAGGTGAGAACCTACACAATCACGTGTCCTACACGGTCTCCTGGACCATCGATCAGCCAAACGAGTACGACCTCAACTGGGCGGCCGCCATGGAGTACGTCAACTTCCAGAGGGGACCGATGGCATCGACGGGAATGTCCCAGGTGACCGGGATCGTGCCCTCCAGGTTCACCACTCCTGACCACCCTGACATTCAGATATTCTTCGGGGGGTATCAAGCCGCCTGCGCAACTACCGGCGAAGTTGGTGCTCTTCAGGATAACGGAAGACGAAGTATCAGCGCCTCGCCGACCAATCTTCATCCTCGCAGCAAAGGTAAAACTGGGAATAAAGGTCCCTTTGCGCTGCCCCCGCTGGTCATACCGGAAGGCTGGGCGAAATTAGTTCGGATTCGAGTTGGATCGATATTACTCCGGTAAAGCTATCGAGCGCTCGTCCGGAGAGTTGGTAATTCCCAAAGTTCGAATTTCAGGCAGACTTCGTCTTATGAGCAACGATCCCATGGCACCTCCGATGATCTGGGGCAACTATCTGTCGGATCCTCAGGACGTGGCCATACTGGTGGAAGGGATCCAGGTTGCCCTGTCTCTGTCCAACACTAGCGCCCTGGCCAAGTACAACATGATGCTCGGGAACGCTCCTCTGCCGGCTTGTGCCCAACTACCGTTTCTTAGTGTGGAATACTGGAGCTGCGCCGTTCGCCAGGATACAGGACCCGAGAACCATCAAGCTGGCTCCTGCAAAATGGGTCCTGCCAGCGACCCAATGGCCGTGGTGGATCCCGAACTACGAGTTCACGGAATTCGAGGCCTCCGAGTAGCCGACACCTCGATCATGCCTCAGGTGAGTTAGACCTGCATTAGCGTTCCACGTTAGCGCTAAGAAGATGGAAGGGACATTTTCCTGAAGTGAGAATGATTCTTTAGGTGACCTCAGGGAACACAGCGGCCCCGGCGATGATGATCGGCGAGAGAGCTGCCGCGTTCATCAAGCGCGACTGGGGAGCCGGTAGCACACAATGGTACGGGAAAACGTCGATCTTTTGGAAGACAGGTTGACATCAATCGACCGTCTTCGTCGATGCGAGGGAAGCCCGATTTCATCATCAGCAAATTTCCCATTTTTATTAGTTTGCCCACGACCTTCTTTACCTGGCTGGACTTTCTGCTCTGGAGGATTCGGTACCTCCTTTGGAAGTTAGGCGCATGGTGAGGCACGCGGACCTCCCTATGAAAGGATCGTGAATCCTAGCGATCGAGGCAGAGGCTTCCTGCAGGAATCACGAATCTCGGAGCCAAGAGGAGAGGATCGTTCGAGGTTCCGACCTCGAGATCGGAGGCGTCCCTGTGTCTAGGACCAAGCCAAAGGGAGAAAACCAAAGAGAAGACCGGCACTCGGTGTCGGCCCCAAAGACGAGTCCCTAAGAAACAGCGAGGGGGTCAGGGAACCTACCGACGAGACATTCCCGAACGTCAATCAAAATGAAGTTAAGGCTATACGAATAAGCGTAGAGCACCGGAGAACTCGGAGCACCTTGTGCCCCTGTGCGACGAGACCAAAGATGTCACCGGCAAAGATCGGTCAGAGCATGGGCAAGCTCCGACCCCGATCTTTCCTGGGATTACCAATCAAAATGTAGCTAAAATATATTCTGGTCTGTAGAATAAATCCGCGGGAAACTTTCCTGATGTAAACGGTATTCGGTACCAAAGACGTAGGACGTAATCACGGAAGAAACTCGAGCTGTCGGGCTCCCAAGATGTTTCTTGCGATTGTCTACCGACACGTCGGCGAAATAAACTGTGGAGCAGCCATCAGGCAAACCTTTAATTATCCTGCCGCGTATCGCACGATGCGTGGCAATTCCGTATCAGTTGTTATCAGGTCGCCAAGTATTCGGTTAGTTTATAAATGACAGGTCCGCGATATTATGGTATCAATATGATTTACAAGTCTAGTCCGCGAAACGTGATTTATGGCCGACGATGAGACTTCGTTATCTGGGAGGCTCATCCAAGAAGCCGTCTTCACTCGGCGGCTAATGCCGGGCACAGTATTATCAACGAGTGCATATGCATAAGCCTTCACTTCAATGTTATCTAGATAATACTCCATATTTCCATAAGTATTGCCTGAATTCTGTTTATATAAAGTAGCCGGGCGGAACACCTCACACACTCAGTAGTCAGTTCGGGACACCCAGGCGGTGTGCTTCTGGCTGGACGAAAACATAGTTGGTGAACATGGTGAGTGGCACTAGAGACACTTTGTCATCCGATAGAGAAACATTGCTAGAAATTACAGAATCGACCCCCACAATTGATTTTCCCATCTATTTGAAACCAGGACTCGGCATATACGCTGAACACGTGCAACGTCCGGTCGGAAGCCCTAACCTGCACCAGACCTTTCCTAGGAGGTCCGCAGCTGACGGATGTCTGTCCTGGAACTAGGTGCACTTTGTTTCTGACCCTGCTGAACACTCTAGTTGACATCCATCCTAAAATAGCTGATCCATGCGGACGCGTCGAGCCGGTCAAGACGCCGAACCTGCGATATGATTTTGTGGTGATCGGAGGTGAGGGCCGTACTATGTACTTCTGATAATCCCAGTTATCCCAAATCATCGGAATCATTGGTTTCCTTGTGGTCCCACAAATCAGGAGGCAATGCAGGTGCAGCGATAGCGGGAAGGTTGAGCGAGGTACCCGAATGGAACGTTCTGCTGTTGGAAGCTGGGCCTGACGAGCCAGCAGGAGCTGAGATTCCCAGCAACTTGCAAGCTTTCCTGGGTATTGATTAATTGTTCCGACTAAGATGTGTCGGAGGAGATTGGCGCATAGAACTATTTAGGGATAACAGAACTGAAAGATTGATTTGAATGACAGATACCGAGTTGGATTGGAAGTACAAGACCTCCAACGAAACGAAAGCGTGCCAAGCTACAGGTGGAGTTTGCTCCTGGCCACGGGGAAAGAATTTAGGTGGATGCACGGTTCATCATGGAATGGCCTACCATCGTGGAAATTCTCAGGATTACAAAAGATGGGTGACCATGGGCAACTGGGGGTGGTCCTGGAACGATGTAAGACGATAGGCTATCGAACGGTGCAAGTTATAGCCCGAACTATTGACTGCGAACTAATACCTTGATTATGTTTTAAACAATCTATCTTTACACCTTATCGGCTGATACATTAGAAATGATTGATATATAAGTCCCCTTCAAGGTGTTCCCGTACTTTTTACTTTCCGAGGATAACCGAGAGATCAACAGGGTTGGGAGTGCGTATCACTCCACCGGAGGGCCTCTGCCCGTAGAAAGGTATTTGCTTTCTTCTGAAAATAATGCTTTTTGATCCCGTTCAGGGTATTTATTTCTGAGTTGCATCCCCGTATAAGATTCCCTTGGCAGCCGGACTTCGCATGGGATATCCTGGAGGCTGGGAAAGAGAAAGGATACAAAGCGCCGGAAGACCTCATTGGAGATGAAATCACTGGATTCACGGTGGCTCAGACCATTAGCAAGAACGGTGTCAGAGTCAGCAGTGCGGCTTCTTATCTCAGGCCTAATAGATTCCGACCAAACCTCCACGTAGCTTTAAATGCCACCGCTACCAAGATACTATTCACCGAGAAGAAGGCCACCGGTGTCCAATTCCGCATGGTGAGAATGCTTTCCCTTTTGCTATCATCGCTTAATCCCTACTTGTTCCGATCTAGATCTGCCGTTGCGAGTACTCTATTTTTTGAATTCATCCATGAAAATAATTATTTCCGTTTCCCTTAAGACCATTGGAATGGTTCTAGAATGCGAATCTTATTCCCTTAGAACGGATTGCTGCGGACGGTCCGGGTTCGTCGCGAGATCGTATTATCAGGAGGTTCGGTGAACTCTCCCCAGTTGTTGCTGCTCTCCGGAGTAGGCCCAGCCGATGACCTCAAGGCCTTGAAGATCCCAGTGATTCAAGATTTGCCAGGAGTCGGTGAAAACCTTCACAACCATGTCTCTTATGCCCTGGATTTCACCCTAAACGAGCCCACGGAACGCGACCTGACATCGCCCGTTGCCGACCAGTATTTGCACAATCAAACCGGACCCATGTCATCCACGGGGCTGGCCCAAGTCACCGGAGTCTTGGCGTCCAACTATACCTCCCCGGATGACCCCGACTTACAGTTCTACTTTGCTGGCTATCAAGCAGCCTGTCCCGGCAATCCAGGAATCTCTGACATTCACTCTTACGATGGCAAGAGAACGGTCAGATTCACTGCCGTAAACATTCATCCCAAGAGCAGAGGTAAGCCGAACGGTGGATTAATTAGTTCTCCCTAATTTATAATACCGATCGACGTCACCGAAGAACCCACTTTTCGTCAGGATTCATTAAACTGGCCAGCAAGAATCCTCTGGAGCCCCCGTACATCCAGAGCAACGATCTCGTAGATCCTAGAGACGTCCAGGTGCTGATAGATGGACTTAACATAATCCTTTCATTGGCCAATACCACCGTCATGGCAAAGCGAGGCATTAAACTGGCGACGATCCCTCTGCAACAATGCTCCAATTACGAATTCCCCAGCGACGAGTATTTCAATTGCGCCGTTCACCAAGACACGCGTACCGAGAACCATCAATCTGGATCCTGCAAAATGGGACCATCCTCCGACCCCATGGCCGTGGTGGATCCTGAACTCAAGGTCCATGGTGTGAGCGGACTCCGAGTTGCCGATGCATCGATCATGCCTCAGGTACAACCTCGCTCTGTGCTTCATATAACAGAGGGCATCTAATTTTCTCCCTCTGTACCGAAATTTCAGGTCGTCTCTGGAAATCCTTCGGCTCCTATCACCATGATTGGAGAGAGGGCCGCGGACTTTATCAAGAAAGAATACGGAATACCGACCGCGCTTTCTGAGAACCAGGATCGCTAAGATGAGCTGCTCTTGATAATCATGTTTTAACGATAACACAACCAACTTCGTGTTAAAGATTTGATGCCGCCCTGGCGAGTTGAAGGACCTCTTCCTCCCACTAAGATGTGTATGCATAAATAAAAAACATGATAACTATAAATTGGACTTTGCTTGGAAATGAAACCTACCGGCGATCGATGATCGAATGGCAATCGCTATGGCTCAATGGAGACCATTCATGTCTCTGGTTCCACTGGAATGAATCCTAGACCAGACGCTAGGAGAGTCAATTAATGACGTCCGCAGGGTACATCGAGGTCTGCTAGTAAAACCCGATCGAAAAACAAATGTCGCCGCAGAAGATGATTAAATACCGCCTAACTCGACTGGCCCGATGAAGAGCACAACTTTCCGCCAATCCTTGATTTTTAGTACTCTTGTTCACGATCCAGAAAATTGGGGGTTAGAGAAAAAGAAGGGTGAAGTTCCTGAAATTGTCTTCTGTTGTAGTGTTTTCGCATCGTCTCTCTGGACCTCGACTAACCGAGTCTTCTCGTTGCGTTTCTTGTCGGGAGCAGCGTAATAACGAGGCTTTACTAGATAATCACTTCCAGCAGACCTCTGTAAAAATGTTACGCTTCGCGGAGCATATAAGAGACGATGAAAGCGAAGTTTCGATAAAAATCGAGAGAACAGGAAGTCCTGCAGGTACGAGGTCGTGGCCTATTAAACGAGATCGAGATATGCAATCTGGACCTTGCGTAATTCGAGTCTTCTCATTAATCTCATCCTACGAGAGACGCGATAACGCGACCTGGGTCGCAAGGAATATTTCTATTACCGGCATATTGGATCCCTTTGTAGCCAACTACGCGAACGGAGTGAATTTAAGACCAGAGAAAGAGAAAAGTCGAATACACGGGGAGGACAAAGAACCCACTTAAGGTACCTTGGTCTTGCTTATTAATGTAGGAAAAGGTAAGGAAAAAGGACTCGCTGAAGCAAAAGTGGGGAAATTTGTTGGAATTTGTGCGAATACCGCCCGGTAAACGCGAAGTCGTTTCAAAGGTATAACCAAAGAAGATAAGAAATTACTTACAGATTAAATAAATGAAATATCAAATAAACCACAAGTCTAGGAAGAAAATTGACAACCGTGGAAACGTTTAGTCATTTCTTACAATTAGTTTGATAATAACAAAGCGGAGTTAGACACGTACGATACGTACATGTGAATTCTCCGATTGAACCCTCGATTCTCGACAGTGAGATAATCTGACTTTTCTTATATTTCTACCCTTCGCGTTTCTTTCGTTTCGAGAACGTCTTTTCTTTCTCAGCTGCTTTTTTTCATGATCTTATCTATCTGGTTCCTTTTATAAGGCGAAAGTAGCTGCGACAGGTACATACAGTTTCGCAACCGCGTTCTCCTTCAACCCTAAACAAAATGCCTGGTGGTAGGCCTAGTTTGAGTATGTCCACACATCCCTTGGTATCTCCGGATCTAAAGATGGTAGCATCCCTGTTCCACGTGGTTTTCCCTTAAAATCCTTCCCCAGACCTCCCCTCACCCTGGACAAGCTGAAACAGCTCTGCTATAAATAATATCTCTTCTGGATTAACGTTTGAAAATATGAAAAGAACCGCGGAGGGGAAAACCGACCAAGAGGTTTCCACGGTTATTTAGGTCTGCCTAGGAGATTCTGGTTTGTATATTTTCTGTTCTCGGCCCGACATAATAACGAGAAACGCTCGAAATAATTGTTTCCAGCAGACCTCAGTGGAGATGCTTCGCTTCGCGAAGCGTAAAAGAGAATTCTAATGCGGGGGAGTAATGGGCCTCGAAGCGGACCAAGATTGCCGAAGGCGGAAATTTTATTTGCCCGGATGCAATTACCCGCTCAGCCGAAAGAAATATTTATATTACTGGCATATTGGATCTCTTTGTAAGCAGCCACGCGATAAAAGCAAATGCGAGGCGGGAAGGAGGAGGCCGAGGGAAACGAGCGCAACGAGACGCACAAAGAGACGATTTCTGACATCCTTCGTCCCGACTGTTATCCTAACTCGCACTCTGGGATCACGTCGCCAACAACCTAGATTAGATTAAACGAGAAAAAACTTGAAATCCCTGGCGACATAAGTTCCCCGGCATCGAGGTCTCCGGCTGAGCTCTATTCGGAAGAATCCACGTTGTCTTCCAATATCCCGATTAACGTTCTCCATGCCTGACCGAAATGTCAAACGCTAGTCGATGATCGATTTAATCGAATGGACCGTCGCCTAGGGCCTAGTGATAACACCACCCACCACCCCGGGTATCCCTAGGATGTCCCGCGAGGGACTTTCGCAGTCGGGGTCCTACCGGGGATGACGAGATAAACAAATTATAAATAAAACATCGAACACCGAGGACTTGTACTCGGGCCAGGGCCGTAACGACGGCTTTGAATTTCATGAGGGGTCGAATAAACTCGGCGAGAGGAGGGTGCGGGGGTGTTCGGTGTTCCTGTGAGATGTTTGGCTTTATTTGTCCTCGGCGCAAGTTCGAGCACCCCCGGCCCGGAACTTTGAATTGTAATTCCTGAGAGGACTTAACCAGACATGCCTGACTTGAGATCATCAACGAGGGAGCCTTCCCGCCCGTTTAGTTCGACTCCTCTCGGAGGAATTGGAGATTTCGGAGAGGCCTATTAAAAATGGAAATCCGAACGACGTCCCGTTCCGGGTCGTCGGGTTATCCGGGAGGCCTCGTCCTCGGACATTTTTCTATCCTTCGGAAGCTAGGGTGGCGTACCACGTGCATGGGAACGAGGAGTCAAAACGAAGGAGGCCCCCGATCCCTGCTAGACCTCCGGGATGAAGATTTTATGAGGGTGGTTCTTCCTCGAGGGAGTGGCGGCGAAGAAATAAATCCTGCCTCGGAATGCTCCTCTGGCGGCACATATCCTGGCTCGATAGGACTCGTAGGCTTAATGCCAGAATTTCGCTTCTCCGGCCGTTCCCGAAGAAGAGGGACCTCGTTCGCCTCGTAAATAATGCGAGGACCCCGAGAAAGCCGTACAGTTATCTAAGTTGGTACCACTTGCCGAACTCCTTTTTTACGTCTTGGACCGTCTTCCCCTGCGGAACGTATACGGAATGGTTGTCGCGGCTGAACTTTCCAGGGGAGAAAGACGGGACCTGGAGAACTTTCCCGGACTTCTCGAGACTCCCCTTAGAACGAACTCGGTCAAGTTTGTCGACGCGACGAGGTGCTTCCATCGGCCACCTTCGGAATTCGGAAATTCTTACGAAGGATCGACCGTTCGGTTACCTCGAAATCCCTTTATCACGACTTCTGGAGGATCTTAACTCTCGGCGCGATTCATCTATCCCTCGATTTCCCGAAATTTTCAATTTTCACAATGGGACGTAATTATGCACGTTACTCCAATTTTCGTTTCGCGTCTCGATTCGGACCTACGTCTGCATCCTGGATGCCTCTGGTCCACTTCAAAAGTCCACATCATATATTAAAACCGATCGCGTTCGAACACGGGCGTACACAAATGGGATTAGGTCCATGTCCTCGTTTCCCATTTCGGCCGGCGAGGAAAAACTGTCAACGATGGGGAGGGGTGAAAATAAAAAAAAAAAGGAAGAAAAAGAGGGAAAAAATCCGGGGAAATCAGAGGAGCCAGCGGCGCGGCCCCGCGAATCTCGCGAGCGGGACCTGCGCCGGCAGAACCGATCCGATTTTTGCGATCGATCGGAGGCTCGGTTATTGTTGACTCCCCGAATCGGAATAACATATCCCCGCGTCCTCCCCAGCCCCCACCCAGCGGGGCCTCCTCGTTGAGCTTTTCCCTCTCCGATAAATATTTTCTCTGCAGGACGAGAGCGGAGCTTATGAAACGCTCGCGCGTGGGATGGCCGGGATTTTTGTCTTTTTTCTTTTTTTTTCTTTTTTTTCTCGGCGAAGGGAGGGAAATTAAAGCGAACGGCCGTCCGGGATTAAACGGCGCGCACCGAGGCCGTTCGAGGGAAAAAGACGCGTCGCGATTTTCTTCGCGATGAAAGGGCCTCGCTCGCGGTAAAATAGGCCGAGATTTGCCGCGATCTCGAGGATCGATTCGCTTCCGGGCGAAGGGAGGGAAAAACCGGCGGTCGGGGCCTTGCCTCCCGCGATCGCCGATAGAAATCGCTTCCCTCTCGGCACTGCCTGATATACTGGAAATTGGATTTCGTGGGAGGTATTACCGGCGCGCGCAGCCCAGGGGGCTCGGAAGTGAGGAATTTTCTCCTTGCTTTTCCCTTCCGGGGCTCCCCTTCTTTTTTTAACCCCCTAGGAAACTCCGTCTAGCACCGTCGCGTGGTGCTTCGACGACTCGTTTGCCAATCGGGCTGCTCGATCCGCAGACGCCGGTCTCGGCGTCCCTTTAAACGCGAAGTACGGAAACGCCTCCTGGGGAGAAGGGAATATTTTTCGAGAATCCCTTCTCCTCCCCAGGGACGAAATCTGAGGGACCTCAAATCGCTCGTTGGGCGGACGGAAGTATGTAAAAGCCGCCTCAAATCAAGACGAGAAGGGAAAGAGGGCCTGGAGGGCGGCTCGGGGACGGCCGGCGACGATAGGGATAAGGCATCGAGTACTCGCTAATTGATAGTAATGAAACTGACGCCGCATCATCGAGTGCGGCTAGCCGATCGGACCGCGGCCTCGAGTCTCCCGTCGCCGGGATATTAAACCGAGCCCGCCCTTCCCTTCGCAGCTTTGACGGATTATCGAAATCCGATTGGCCGAGTACCCAATTAACCCGCGAGTCATTGCGGCCAGTAATTGCGTCCGATAGGATCTCAGAATATATTAATTTACGGCATCCTCGGCCCCCTCGGTCCTATCGAGCCTTCGCCGACAGCGAGTGTATCATCTCCACCACGAATTTGGCGCGTTAACTCGCGTCATTTTTTCCTCCCCTACGTACGAGTGCTCGCGTGTACGTACATTTTTCGAACGTTCATCCATCACATCCGGCACCCCCGACCGGGCGCACACGGCTCGGTACGTCGCTCGATAAGGCAGGAAATTGTTCCGTTTCGCGGTGCGGCGCACCTGTCATTCGCACCGCCACACAGCTCGTGCCGTGTGTCGAGACTCGATCGGAAAGATTTTCCGGA